TAAACAGTATAGCTAAAGCAAAGGATCACATCAGTGATTTAGAAGACAAGGTAGGAAAAAAACACCCAGGCAAAGCAGCAAAAAGAAAAAAGAACTTTAAAAAATGGTACAAAATAGAAAGGGGGAGGTTAAAAATAGTACAGGAAATGTAGAAACCAAAGAACTTATAGACCCATGGACATGAACTAAGGTGTAGGGTGGGAATGTGGGGTGGGAGGGAGTGTGCAGGACAGAAGGGAACAAGGGGGGATGGGACAACTGTAATAGCATAATCAATAAAATATATATTAAAAAAGAAAAATAAGAAAATTTAAAAATGAAGAGAACTTAAGAAATATTTTGGACAATATGAAATATAACATCCACATCATGGGAATACCAAAAGGAGAAGAGAGCAAGCAAGAGATCGAGAACCCATCTGAAGAAGTAATGACCAAAAACTTCCCTAATCTGGTGAAGGAAAAAAGACACACAAGTCCAGGAAATTCACAGAGTCCCAAACAAATTGGACCTAAAGATGGCTATGCTGAGACACAACATAATTAAAATGACATGGCTTTCATTTCAATGAAATGACAAGGAGAGAATTCTAAAAGACACAAGAGACAAGCAGGTAGTTACATATAAAGGAGCACCAATTAGACTGTCATCTGATTTCCCAACAGAAACATTTCAGGCCAGAAGGGAACAGCATGAAATATTCAAGGTGATGAAAAGCAAGAACCTACAACCAAGGCTACTTTGCCCAGCAAGGCTATCATTTAAAATCAAAGGTGAAATAAGGAACTTCCCAGACAAGAAAAAGCTAAAGGAATTTGTTAACACCAAACCAGTACTACAACAAATATTAAAGGGCTTGCTTTAAGAAGAACAAGAAGAAAAGAAGAAAGGGGGAAAAAAAAACACAGGAAAAGGGACTAATGATAAAATGGCACTAAATACATATCTGTCACTAATCACCTTACATGTAAATGGCTTAAATGCTTCAACCAAGGGACATAGAGTAGATGAATGGGTAAGAGAACAATACCCATATATATGCTGCCTCCAAAAAACCCATCTCAGATCTAAAGATACACACAGACTAAAAGTAAAGGGATAGAAAAAGATTATTTTATGCAAATGGAAAGGAAGAAAAAAGCTGGGGCAACAGTACTTATATCCAACAAAACAGACTTTAAAATCAAGGCTAAAGTAAGCCTTGATAAAGGGACACTACATAATAATAAAGGGAACAATCCAACAAGAGGATATAACCCTAGTAAACATTTACGCACCGAACACAGAAGCAACTAAATACGTAAAGCAAATCTTGATGGACATAAAAAGAGGAACTGATAGAAATACAGTCATACTCAGGGATTTTAACACTCCACTGACTTCAATGGACAGATCTTCCAGACAGAAAATCAATAAGGAGACAGAGGCCTTAAATGACACACTAGATCAAATGGATTTAATCGATATCTTCAGAACATTTCACCCAAGCAGCAGAATATACATACTTTTCAAGTGCACATGGAACATTTGCTAGGACAGACCACATGTTAGGACACAAAACAAGTGTTAAAAAATTTAAGATTGAAATCATATCAAGCATCTTCTCTAACTATGATGCTATGACACTAGAAATCAATCACAAGAAGAACACTGAAAAACACACAAAGACATAGAAGCTAAATAACATGTCATTAAACAATGAATAAATCAACAACAAGATCAAAGAAGAAATCAAAAGACACAAATGAAACAAATGAAAATAAGAATACAACAATCCAAAATCTGTGAAACACAGGGAAAGCAATCCTAAGAGGGAAATTCATAGCATTACAGGCCTATCTCAAAAAAAAAACAAGAAAAAGCTCAAATAAACAATCTAATATCACACTTAAAGAAACTTGAAAAAAAAAAAAAACAAATTCCAAAGTGAGTAGAAGGAAGGACATAATAAAGATCAGAGTAGAAATAAATGAAATAGCCTAAAAAAAGATATAAAAGATCAATGAATCCAAGAGCTGGTACTTTGAAAAGATACACAAGATTGACAAACCTTTAACCAGGCTCATCAAGAAAAAAAGAGTACTCAAATAAATAAAATCAGAAATAAAAGGGGAGGAATAACAAGTGACACCAAAGAAATAAAAAAAAGTGAGAAAATACTATGAACAACTCTATGCCAACAAACTGGACAACCTGGAAAAAATGGAAAATTCTAGGAACATACACTTCTAAAACCAAACCAGGACAAATCAGAGAATCTGAATAGACAGATTACACCAAGTGAAATTGAAGCAGTGATCAAAAATCTACCAACAAAAGCCATGGACTGGATGGCTTCACAGGTGAACTCTAACAAACATACCAACAAGAACTGACATCTCTCCTTAAACTATTTCATAAAATTCAAGAGGAGGGAAGGCTCCCAAACTCATTTTAGAAGGCCAACATTATCCTAATTCTAAAACCAGGTAAAGACACTACAAAAAAAACAAAATTATAGGCCCTTATCCCTGATGAACAGTCACTAAACCTAACCAAAATATTAGCAAACTGAATATAGCAATGCATCAGAAAGATCATACACTATGGTCAAGTGGGATTTATTCTAGGAAAGCAAGGTTGGTATACAACATTCACAAATCAATTAATGTGATTCACCACATAAACAAAACCACATGATCATATCCATAGATGCAAAAAAAGCATTTGATAAACTCCAGCACCCATTTATGATAAAAACTCTTGGCAAAATGATAATAGAGGGAACATACCTAAACATAATAAAAGCCATTTATGAGAAGCCCACTCCTACCATCACACTGAGCAAAAACTACAAGCGTTCCCCTTAAGATCGGGAACAACAAAGGGATGTCCTCTTTCACCTCTTTGATGCAACATAGCCCTGGGAGTCCAGACCATAATAATCAGACAAGAAGAAGAAATAAAAGGCATCTAAACTGGAAAGGAAGAAGTGTCTTTATTTGCAGATGACATGACACTGTACATAAAGAACTCCAAAGATTCCACCAAGAAACTACTAGAACTGGTAAATGAATTCAGCAAAGTAGCAGGATATAAAGTTAATATTCAGAAATCAGTTGCATTTGTATATGTCAATAGCAAACTAACAGAAAGGGAAATTAAGAAAACACTCTCATTCACAATTGCTTGAAAAAGAATAAAATACCTAGGAATAAACCTATCAAGGATGTAAAAGACATATACTCAGAAAATTACAAGACACTGAAGAAAGAAATTGAAAAAGATACAAATTAGTGGAAGCACATAACATGTTCATGGATAGGAAGAATTAACATCATTAAAATGCCCATACTACCCAAAGCAATCTACAGACTCAACACAATTCCTATCAAGATTCCCATGACGTATTTCACAGAACTAGAACAAATATTTCAAAAATTTATATGGAATCACAAAAGGCCCTGCATAGCAACAGCAATCCTGAGAAAGAAGAACCAAGTTGGAGGAATCATGCTATCCAATATCAAACTATACTATAAGGCCATAGTAATCAAAACAGCATGGTGCACATGCAATTGGCTAAAGATAGTTTACTCAATAAATCGTGTTGGAAAAATTGGACAGCTACATGCAGAAAAATGAAACTAGACCACCTTCTCACACCACACACAAGAATAAATTCAAAATGAATTAAATACTTAAACCCAATATTAGACCCAAAACCATAAAAATCATAGAAAAAAACGTTGGTAACAAAATCTCCAACATTGCTCATAGCAATATTTTATTGGATATATCTCCCCAGGCAAGGAAAACAAAAATAAATAAACAAATGAGACTACGTCAAACTAAAAGGGTTTTGCACAGCAACAGAAAACATCAACAAAATAAAATAAAACCCATAGAATGGGAGAGCATTTTCTCCAACACATCTGATAAGGGGTTAATAGACAAAATTTATAAAGTGCTTACAAAGCTCAACACCAAAAGAACAAACAATCCAATTAAAATATGTGCAAAAGACACTTCTCCAAAGAGGACATATTTGGCAAAAAGGATAGCCAATAGACATATGAAAAGATGCTCAATGTCACTAATCATCAGAGAAATGAAAATTAAAACCACAACAAGGTCCCATCTCAGACTTGTCAGAGTAGCTATCATCAATAAATCAACAAACAAGCGCTGGTGAGGATGTAGAGAATGGGGAACCCTTTTGCATGGTTGGTGGGAACACAGACTGGTGCAACTACTGTGGAAAGCAGTATGGAGATGACTCAAAAAATTAAAAATGGATCTGCCTTTTGACCCAGCAATCCCACTTCTGGAAATATATCCAAAGAATCCAAAACACTAATTCGAAAGGACATAAGCACTCCTATGTTCATCGCAGGTACGGAAGCAGCCCAAGTTTCCATCAGTAGATCAGTGAATAAAACAACTATGGGACATCTACACAATGGAATACTACTCAGCCTTAAAAAAGAAGAAAATTTTACCCTTTGTGACAGTGTGGATGGACCTAGAGAACACTAGTTAAGTGAAATAAGCTAGTAAGAGAAAAATATCATATAATTTCATTCATATGTGGAATCTAATGAACAAACTGAATAACAAGGAAAATAAAGACAGACAGACAGCAGGGTGACAGCTAAGTGGTCAGGGGGAGACGAGGGAGTAGAGGGATGGAGCAAAAAGGACTCATGTGGACTTGGACAACAGTGTAGTGATTGTAGGGGCAGGGAGGTATAAGTGGACTAAATGTTAAAGGAAAAAAATCTGAATTTAATTTTGCCAATTTCTCTTTTGCCAATATAGCTCCAAAAAAAATCAATCACATGATAGGTACACAATATAGGAGTAATACAAGATTTAAAAAATGTTCATGTTAACATATTTACTACTTAAGTTCTGTGAAAGACTATTAGAATAATGACAGATTAAATTTCTTTAAAAATGATCAACATTTTTAAAGCTTACATTAATGAAAAAACAAAATTAGTTCCTCTTGTGAATACCTGGAAGGTTTCCATTGTAGTCCACATCTTCTATGCCACATCCCCATTTAACCAGAAGTTGCAAACAGCCAAGCCGTCCATGAAAAGCTGCATAATGTACAGGTTTCCATTCTCTAACATCAGTTATGCTGGGATCCTAGAGGTAACATTCACAAAGACTAAGTTTCTTTCCATTTTGTAGGGGAAACACTAAGTCTAGCAACTTAACTCTGAAATAAGAATGGGTGGCTGTTCTCAAAATTATAAGGCAACACTAAATATAAAAGAAAACTTTACTGAAACCACTGATTTGAACATATAAGCCAATAACATACTTTTAAAAAGAACACAAGTAGTCATATAAAAATAGGTTTAAGCCCTGGCTGATGTGGCTCAGTGGATTGAGTGACAGCCTGCAAATCAACATCACCAGTTTGATTCCCAGTCAGAGCACATGCCTGGGTTGCAGGCCAGGTCCCCAGTGGGCAGTATGTGAGAGACAACCATACACTGATGTTTCTCTCCCTCTCTTGCTCCCTCCCTTCCCTTCTCTCTAAAAATAAGTAAATAAAATCTTTAAAAAAAATAGTTTTTAAAAAGACTAAGCCCTAGCTGGGTAGCTCAGTTGGTTAGAGAGCTATGTCAAGAGTATATGTCAAGGTTGTGGGTTCAATCCCCAGTAAGGACACATACAACAACCAACCAATAAATGCATAAATAAGTGGAACAACAAATTGCTGTCAGTGTCTCTCTCTCTCTCCCCCCCACCCATTTCTTCTCTCTCTGGAATCAATTTTAAAGAAGGAACTTTACTAGTCATTTTACTGGCCACAGGTTCCTGGATAATAAAATGAAAGGAGTGGATTCAAATGATCAAATCATATCTTTAAGAGTATAAAGAGTTAATGAAAAAAATACTAAGATTTTACACTTTTCACTACAGAAGTACCAACTCTTACCATAATGTCTTCAATATAGGTAGTTCTTTTCTTATAAGAAGTTATTTTCTACAAACACTGAGTAATATTAAAAATAAATATCATAATCAAGTGTCTGGAGATATAAATCACTTGATAAGTTATTATATGAAATAAAAGCTACACACAGAAATTCAGAAAGATTTACAATCACAGGTGAACATATGTTTGGAAGCTTCAGAATCCGCCCAATTAAACTCTGAACAACCCATAGCCTCTGAAATAATTTATACTACTAAACTGGGTTTGTTTTTAAGGTTTATCTAAATTATTGTTCCTATGTTTAAAGATAGAAAAGCTATAGAGTTCAAATTACTTCCCTAAAGGCCTGGCCTCTGTGGCTCAGTTGGTTGGAAAGTCATCCCATAGACCGAAAGGTGCTGGGTTTGATTCCTGGTCAGGGCACATACCTGGGCTGCAGGTTCAATCCCATGGGGGCACATAGAAGAAGGCAACCAATCGATGTTTCTTTCTCTTCCTCTCTCTCTCTTTCTATCTCTCTATCTCTCTCTCCCCCCTTTCCTCTCTCTCTAAAGAGCAATGAAAAAACGTCTTTGGGTGAGGATACAAAAAATCATTTCCCTAAAGTCATGGAGAGTACTTAGAAAGTCAGGAAAAGATAATCAGACCACCAAATGCTATTTCACTTATATGATTACATATTCTCATATATTAAGAGGAATCCCTCACCACTCCACTGCGGAGCATTACTTGTAAAGTGAAAGAATGTCCATGTGTAGAAGCAAGGTGTACAGGAGTGCAACCACGATCATCCTGAGCAGCCAGATTTGCTCCATTGATTATAAGAGCCTAACAACAGAAAAATATGAATGAGTTCATATGAATATAGATTTTAAATCATAAATGCAGATGGAGATTATTCAAAGGCAAGCAATTTATAACTCAGTTAAATTATTACATATGCTCTTACATATGTGCCACAGGAAACTATGAGAAGTTCCTAGCTAATCCAAAGAGAATGTTTAAAGTCTTTTTTAACATTGCGTAGGGAATCTTTATAACACCTGATTTCACATTCTGATCTGAGCATTATATACAGTTTATAAGGCACACTTTTCGTGAGCATTGATTAATATAACCACTGAGTTAAATACTTTAACCCTAAACTAATAAAAGTGAAATTTAAACTTGCATTATTTCAAAAGCACAATGTTTTATTAACTGGGTTTTGAATATAATAAAAGGATTTCATTATTAAAGTAATAGTTCTAAGCTCCAAATCAAACTTCTAACTGCATCTGAGAAGATTCCATCTCAATTTACAAGTGGCCCAGTTTCTATGCATGGATTATATCGTATACACAGCATATCCCTCTATATGATGTCTGGAGTAATTGCTTCAAAAAATTATTAGTTAGTGTTTTTTAGTTTTTTCTCCCTGAGCATTTTTTTCCTTTTTAACCATCCCATATTTAGCAATGTCTTAGAAAAAGTTTAGTTAGTCATCACTCCTATCAAGAGTTTTAAGAAGAATAATCCCATGATTTGATCTGACTTACATTAACAAACTAGTTTAGACATCACAAACCATATATTAAGCACTTACTATGTTTTAAAAGTCACTACAAAGAATATGAAGACATATCAACTTAGGGAATTAGGCTTATGTAGAGACAAAGATAACCATACAGATCTATCCTTGATAAGCAAGAACTTAAACGTATACTACAAAAAAGTACCACACCAGCTCTGAGAAGGAAGAGGTCACTTTGAGAAAGAGAAGGACAATCAAGGCAGAGAGAATGGCTTGAACTATTGCTTCATTACTAGAGGAAGGAAAGTATCCAGTAAAGCTTCATTTGACCTCAATGTCCCCTAAAATTACCATTTCCACTTTCTACTTCTCAAATTAATACCTCAACTCCAAATCCACCTGCAAACTGAGTGTCACCACCACCACTGCATAGAAATACAGCCAGCCTCCCCCTATAAAGAGCTCTTAAATTCAATGGCACTTCCTTAAGCTTTATTCCCTTTAGTTTTATCTTGTAACTGATACTCTGCCTAATTCTTAAACTTCTTCCTTCACTTGCACAGCCTAATGGATCCTGGCTCTATCTCTCAGACTTCCTCCTGTGAATTCCTTACATTTTTTTCTCTGCTTCCTTCCATCCTTACTAGTAACATTCTTTAACATTTGAGACTCAGTACTCACTGTTCTCTATACTTTATTATCTAAAATATTTGTCTCCAGTCCCCTTCCAACTGCCTGCACCTTCTGCACCTGAATGACCTACAGGCACCCTAAACTGCTAAATTGAACGCAACCTCTTCTCTCCCAAATCTCCCTGGCCTTTCAGATATTCCTTTCTACAGTTTCATAATTATCTGTCATTCTGATTCAAAACTTTAAATTCTCACCATACTCGGTCTATGACTACTTCGGTAGATGTCAAATCACCTTCTCTCTTTCCCACTGCCATCACCTAATTTCACCCTCTATGGTCAGTGAGTACACCAAAAACCTCTAACTGATCTATGAAGAACTGTGCATAACTGTGCACAGCCCTTAAAACAACCCAAACAGATAAACAACTTCAAAGATAAAAAGGTCTCTTGTCTTATATCATTTGTTTAAGCAGATAGTTGATACTAAAATATCTAAGACATAGAATCCCATAAGTTCTTATTTAGAACATATTGTGTTGGCCAAAAAAATCCAATTAGTTTTTCCATAAAATAAAAGATACATTTTTCATTTTCACCAATAACCTCATTGATTTGTACATTTTGAGTATGTTAGTGATCTCCTGCTATTGGCTTCTAGTAGGTAAAGGCCAGGGCTGCTGCTAAACATCTTCCAATGTCTAAGACAGCCCCAAAACAAAGAATTATTTGGCCATAAGGTCAATAGTGCCAAGAAACTTTGCAAACCACCTCTGACATGTTCAATCAGTTATACCACCATCTCCACACACTGCACAAATTTTTTTTTCACATTTCAGTGGTGTTCTTATCTTGCATGAAAGTATAATATGCCAAAAATACTGTGTATTTTCTTCCATCTTCAATGTTAAAATGGCTGCAGAAAAATTCACCAATTTTGATAAGTTTTTTTAAATGCATGCTGATATGACAGCTGCCACAATGCAATCCAACAACAGTATTTCAAATGAAGTTAAAGATAACTAAGCACTACTAAAGCCATCATACAGAAAAATATAATGGACTTTTTGACCAACCCAATAGAAGTGCAGTGATTGCAGATGGGGCGTATAGGGAGACTAAATGGTAATGAAAAAAATACAATAAAGATTATTAAAAAAAATTTGGAACAAAGTCAAGGAAGAGGTGATAGATAAGGAAAGAGGTGCTTGTTTTGGAATTGGTATCAGCTGAGAGAGAAGTTTCAGTTGGAGAACTGAGAGAGCATTGGAAATGTAAATTGTAAGAATTAGCAGGTGGACTGTGAGGAGGGTGAGGCCAAGATCTGGATGGAAGCCCAGAAAAGTATCTTAGTGAAAAGTGGAATATTCCAGGCAGCTGAAATTCACATGGACTTCTCAAAAGAACTGGCATTTATAAACATTCCCTCTAAGATATAGATTCTTTCTAGGGTTTTCTAATATTCCTAATAGAATCTCCCAAGATATAAAATAAATAATAATTATTTTAACATAACCTTGGATTTCTCCTTTATAGTTACATGAAGTGCATGTCTGAATAATCTCAAGGTTGGTATAAAATTACCATGGCTTTTTTTTAAAGAAATCACTCTAGGTATCTGAAAATAAACATGTATTGGTGAATCAGCTATACTTACTTCCCCAAACAGAAATCTGTTTGGTTGGACCAAAGTGACACCTCACTCTTGCATTCTGTTGCTGGATCCTAAACAGAACTGTTATGTCTTGAATTCCTTCAGCTGTGCTCTCAGTTCAGCTTCTATGCCTGTGCCTTTTTTTTACTCTCCAGGCGACAACCATGCTCCACCCCATCCCTCCTTTCTTTTCTTGCATCTCCAGGTAACTGACTCTCCTTTCAGTATTTTTTTTGGTGCAGATTTTACTTTCCTCTGAAGCACTTGCTCCAAGCCAGCTTTGAAGCCTGTGTCTGGGGCCAGGATTCCTTGCATTCTAAACAGCACAGAGAACATGAACATACTTAGCTGTCACCCTGATCAGATTGCATCCCTTTACATCAGCCCAGGCTTGATGGCAAAGGAACTAGGTCTTATCTCCTCAACAAGGTGGAAATCTGATGGTCAGTCCTGCAAAATATGGGAGGACAGGGCAGATAGTATGTCCACTGGCTTGTTAGGGTATGAACAACATGGGGTATAACATGGAGGTTGCCACCTAGGCACTAGGGCCAGACAGTCTGAATTAAGGTCCAGCTTTACCACCCCTTAGCTGTGTGACCTTGGGCAAGTTCCTCAGTCTCTCTGTGCCTCAGTTTCCTCATTTAGAAAGTGGAAATTCTAATAATCCCTACGCCACAGAGTTGTTATGAGGAGTATGCTGTGTAGTAATAAGCAATTGTCATGATTCTAATCCCCAGACTGGTGATCTGAAGCTTTTTGAAGAAGGGGAGGAAGTATATAACTTCAGATTATTAGGCCTTGATCAAAGAGAATGTCTAATTGGCCAATAAACATTATTTAAGGTGAAATGACTATTTTCACTACCACTCCATTGAACACATTTTGTTTAACTTTCACCTGAATTCTTACTTTACCTGTATGTCCATGCCCATGTTCTAACACCCCAGAAGTTTTATGAGGCACAATGTTAGTCCAGCTTCATAATACAATTAAGTAACTAAAAATTTTTGCAAAAAAAATTAGAAATAAATGCACGCTGATATGACACCTGTCACAATGCAATCCAACGAAATTGTTTCAAATGAAGTTGAAAACTAAACACTACTAGAGCCATTGTATTGAAAATACCTAACAGACTTTTTGGCCAACCCAATAGAAGTAAATCTACAGAATCAAATTATTAAAATAAAGTCAAATTATTAAAATAAAAGCAATAGCTTATCAGAACTATGCTGAAGTATTAAACTTACTAAATTTTTAAAAAGTAGACAAAGCTATTATTACCTGCATACATGCATCCTGACCCCTGATTGCAGCTATGTGAGCTGCTGTCCAGCCTCTCGTAGTTGCTAGTGTAATATCGGCTCCATGCCAGAGGAGCCAATGAAGACACTAAATTAAGAAAACAATCATATTCACAAGTGATAGGCAGATGTTTTGAACATTTTTATATCTTTTAAATTTAGTCTGTTACCATGAAATACAGCAGCCAAAGAAGCCTAAGAGAGTAAGGGAACCAGATATAAGAAAAACAAAAGAGCAGGTACAATGATATGGTAACCAGCATTTAGACTTTTTTTAAAGATTTTTTTATTTACTTATTTGACTTACTTACATCTTTATTTTTAGAGAGAAGGGAAGGGAGAAAGAGAGGGAGAAAAACATGGATCAGTTGCCTCTCGCAGGCCCCCAACCAGGGACCTGGCCTGCAACCTAGGCATGTAACCTGACCAGGAATCGAACCAGCAACCTTTCAGTTTGCAGTATGACTTCCAACCTACTGAGCCACACCAGTCAGGGCTTGGCTTTACGGTTGGGTAAACAATAGGTAGCAGTGGGAACTGTGACAAACTGGAGACAACACTCCTCGACAATAAGGTGCTACTCAATTCCAGCCAGTCATCGCTATGAGTAAAATGTTGATCCAAATCTAATATTTAACCAATACTATACAACCCAAACAAAACATGTGTGAGCCAAATTTGCTCAGAGGCTGCTAGTTTGCAACCTCTGCCAAGGATCTTTCAAATGGGCCCAGAAGCTTCTGTAGCAAAGAAAACTTTGCTATTCTGATGATACTCTCTAAAAACATAGTGATTTATATTTTAAAAATGGGAATCAAATGCATCTTCATTTAAGATTTTTAAAAACTGCCCTGAGTCTCATTATAATATAGTACTTAGAGGTATGTGCCACATGTAGTATTACTGTTTTTATATACAGTAATAACAGTACTGTATATACTGTATATACAGTATGGTACAGTATATATACTTTACTGTTCAAGTTTGTAGGTTCTACCTTCAGGAAGTTGTGTTTTTTTTAATTGATTATATCATTGCAATACACTAAAATCAGTTATTGCCATATCATTTGTTGAAAAGGCTTACTTGCCCTGGCTGGTATAGCTCAGTGGATTGAGCGCGGGCTATGAACCAAAGTGTCGCAGGTTCAATTCCCAGTCAGGGCACATGCCTGGGTTGCAGGCCACGGTCCCCAGGAATTGCACATTGATGTTTCTCTCTCTCTCTCTTTCTCCCTCCCTTCCCTCTCTAAAAATAAATAAATAAAATCTTAAAAAATAATAATAATAAATAAGACAAAATTGTTTTAAAAAAGCTCAATTTCACTAATAATCACAGTATATCATTCATTTACTCAACAAATATTTCTGGAGAGACTACCATATACTAAGCCTGTTCCGATATTGGAGAATACTGTAAACATTCATGTACAAGTTTTTTATTTGTCCTGGGTAAATATGTAGAAGTGAGATTGCTGGAACATAGGTAACCATATGTTTAACTTTCTAAGAAGCCACGAAACTGTTTTCTAAAGTGGCTGTATCATTTTATACTTCTACCAGCAATGTATGAGAGTTCTAGTTGTTCTATATCCTTGCCAATATTTCACATTGCTATTTCTTGAGTATTTTTGTTTTTGTTTTGTCATTCTAATATGCATGTAGTAGCATCTCACTGGGTTTTAATTTGCATTTCCCTAATGCCTAATGGTGTTAAATATCTTTTCATGTGTTCAGTTGCCATCCATATTTTTGAGAAAGTGTCTATTGAAGTCATTTGTCATTTTTTTAATTGGGTTTTTTCGTTTCTTACTACTGAGCTGTAAGTCTCTCATTCTGATCACAAGTTCAGACATATGATTTGCAAAGATTTTTCTCCTAATTTTTTCTTCTATAAGTTTTATAAGGTTAAGTTTCAAACTTTTTTACACATAAATGTCCAACTGTGCCAGCACCATTTAATGAAAACAGTATCTGTTCTCCATTAGATTACATTGAAAAATCAACTGACAAATAAGCAAGAATTCAGAAATGGCTAAGTGAGGAGCTTGGCAAACCCTCCCCAAGAAGCAATGATAAAACTGGACAAAGTTGTCAAAAAACAAGACCCTGGAAGACCCTGGAAATTGACCACAGGCAATATAACAAAATAAGGAGAATTTATTCAAGAAAATCTACTGAATCTCAGCAAGAACAGGAAAGCTGAGACTACAGCTACCCCTCTTCCCCGCTGCATGGTGCAGATGATCTACCTGTGGACAGGTAGATCCATAGGACAGCTCCATTGTCCTCCTGGAAGGGTTGACTTAATTAGGAGCTAAACATGAAAAGTTCCATGCCCAGGCATGTTGTCAAAAACACTTCCACACCTCAGAGCAGCCTGAGAAAGCCAACATCAGAGCTAGCCTGAAGTCATGTTGCTGGTTGGGGCAAGCACAAAACTACAGACTACCCACAAAATTAATAGGAAAACCCAAGAAATGAGATGGCCAAAGTGGGCCTTACTAAGATTCCATTTAATCCTTGTAATCTAAAAGGCTGTGTGCATGTACAAGGCTGCTCAGACTCAAGAAAAGACTGAAGAGGAACTAAGTTAGCTAGACATCCCTGGCTAACCATGAAGCCTTACAAACACATTTTTCTAAAAAAAAAAAAAGATGTCCAGCCAATTTTTAAATTGCTTGGATTTTGAAAACATTCGCCAAGCCACACAGAGACTCATCAGTAAAAGAAGAAATCCTTACTGGCTCAAAATATTTAAGCATGTGCTCTCATAAGTCACTGGCTAACCACCAAACTATGCTGACCCAGGGGTGAACCCTAAAAAGCCAGGCTTTAAAAAAAACAACAAGAATTAAAAGAAACAACAACTGAGCAGTGGCTACATGCTGTGAGGAAACCAGACTCCACCTAATTAGTCCAGGCAAGTAAACAAATGCAAGCACACAGCAGCAACCACCATGGGCAGGGGAGAGGAAGTAGGATCAAACTCCAGGGTTGCTACAATATATAATCTGAAATGTCCAGGGTTTTTTTTTAAGATTTTATTTATTTATTTACTTTTAGAGATGGGAAGGGAGGGAGAGAGTGAGAGAAACATCAACCAGTAGCCTGTTGTACACCCCCAACTGGGGACCTGGCCCACAACCCAGGCATGTACCCTAACTGGGAATCAAACCGATGACCTTTTAGTTCTCCATGAGCCACACCAGCCAGGGCTTAAACGTCCAAGTGTGTTGGAAGATGGGATTGGAGATATAAATCTACCATATTAAATAGCTTTAACTGTGTCCTATAGAGGGTGAGTGTTAAGTAATGTCAGATTTTGGTTTAGAGTGGTAAGTTTGTATACAGAATATGAACTAGAAGTAGACAAGACAAAAAAGAGAAAACTAATTAGATCTAAGGCAGTGGCTATGAGGACAAAGAAGAAAAATCGAAAACCAAAGATGGAATAGAACCAACTGACCTAGTGATCAGTTCTTACTGCATCAATGTGGACCATGAAGGGCACCTTCACCTAGAGGAATGTTGATAATGTGTAATGCTTCTGAAAAAAATTAAGACAACTCAAACAGATACTTTTTAAATGATCACATTTGGTGCTTCTCAGATTTCTGAGAAAATTGCTTTGCACTTTATATTACAATAATCATGACGGACAATATTGTTTTACAACAGTCCTGTGGGGGTTTTCTGTTGTTGTTGTTACTAAACAAATATTCCAGATAAGTGATTTTCAACCAGTGTGCTGCAAGAATTTTAAAAATATGCAATACCTGTCTATTTAGTCAGAGGCAGATTAGACCTCTTTTCCCTTAGATTGTCAAATTTAAAAAGTGACAACAGCCAACACAACAATAGCTGTCTGGTGTGAATGAATCAAAATTATATGTTTTTTGTCAGATTGGCAAAAAATATATTCTTTGGTGTGCTTCAGAATTTTAGTAATTAGTTTATGTGTGCCATGAGATGAAAGGTTGAAAACCACTATTTTAGATGGTGAAAAAAACTGAAACAACTCAATAATGATTCAAAGTCCATTAGCCTTGAAAACTAAGAAAGGGATAGAAATGAATAATAGTTTAGCTTTACAGAAATTGAATTTGAGACGCTAGTCAGATATGCATGAGTTGTTGATCAAGCACCCAATACATGAGCCAGAATTCAGGATAGAAAGCAAATCCATGAATTATTATGTAGAAGTGATAAAGCCAAGGAAATTAAAAAAAAAAAAAACTGCCTGGAGAGAGAGAGAAGGCAAATGCATAAAAACACCTATATTTATAGAATAGGCAGGGTAGGTTAACCAAAGAAGCCTAAGTGAGAGTAATCAGAGAAGCTGAAAGGATACCAGAAAAGAGATTAAATAAGTAGTATATCAATTAGTCCTATACTACTAGAATATGGCAGAGTAAAATCATCAAAAAAAGAAAAAGAAAAACAGGAAGAAAACCCCATCTTTGATGAAACTAGGAGACATCTGAAACTCAAATCACAAAACAGATGGGAAAGCTGCCAAAGTATAGATTAAGTGCAGGGGGCGGGGGAGCAAAAAAAAAAGAAAAAGACTGCATAGTGAATAGACCTACTGCAGCAGGCTGGGGAAATGTAGTAGCTAAAATAAGCTCCCCCCACACAGCCTTGAATCTTGAGAAAAAAATCTCAGTTATCTTTGTACACAGCCCAAGAATAAGAAATTTTGCATAAAAAATTTACTAGGCACTGCTTGTACTAGCTAAAACTTGAAACCAACTGAATATCCATCCATTGAAAAATGAATAAATTCTGATATTAGTCTAAGAATAGACTGTCACAACATGGCTGAAAGAAATAAAGTAGAGGCCTTGGCTGGTGTGGCTCAGTGGATTGAGTGTCGGCCTGTGACCCAAAAGATCACCAGTTGGATTCCCTGTCAGGGCACATGCCTGGATTTCAGGACAGGTCCCCAGTTGAGGGCATGTGAGAGACAACCTATCAATATATCTCTTGCACATCCATGTTTCTCTCCCTCCCTCCCCTCTCTCTAAAAATAAAGTCTTTTAAAAAATAAACTACATTACATATATTTAACCACATGTATCAAGATGCAGAATGATACATGTCATTTATATAAAACATGTCATTTAAGACAATGATATAAGCATATGCCATAACAGCATAAAACAAAGATGGGAATAATCAACACCAAATTCAGGGTAATAGTTATCTCTGGAGTTGGAAGAGGAGAAATGGTGCCTAGGAGGGGTGCACAGGGACTTCAAATGTATCTATAATGCTCCATTTGTTTTCCAAAAATCGGAAGCAATTATAGCAAAAATGTTTGGACTTAAGAAAACTAGGTATTCACTATATTACCCACTCTAAGTTACCCTTTATGTTTGCCTTTGGAACCCAGCCACCACACTGTGAGGAAGCACAAACCAGCCCAGGTGGAGAATTTCCACCAGTAGGTCCATGTGGAGGAGAATTAAGGTACCCAGCCTAAAGCCAACATCTATCACCAGACATCTGCGTGAATAAGACCTCAGAAGGTTCTAGCCCCAGCTTTTCAATCTGTAGCTAAACCCCAGATATCATGGAGCAGAACAAGCTGTCCCTGGGATCCAAATTCCTGATTCACTCCTGAGCATAAATAAATGGTTATTTTATCCCACTAAGTTTTGGGTTAATTTGTTACAAAGCTCGGGTTCACTCCTGAGCATAAATAAATGGTTATTTTATCCCACTAAGTTTTGGTTTAATTTGTGACCAAAACACCCCACATTAGACTGAAATGAAAAAGAAAATATTTGCAGTGCCTCATGTAGGACCTCAGTCCTATTGGTTAAATTTGCAAAACTGCTGTAAATTTAACCTAGTTTTATTTAGCTTCTTACCTCCAAACTTCCAGAATGTGCTGCCCAATGTAAAGGGGTAAATTTATGGATGATGTCAACTTCATTAATGTTGGTTCCATGTTCTACTATTTCTGAAAGCTGCTTTACATCTCCAGCTCGTACTGCATCATGTATGCTACCAAAATGCACTTTCCTCCTGGCACCTACCGAAAAATTGAATTGTCTAAATTATATTACAATATAAAAAAATACTGAAGCAATAAGTCAAAAGAAAGAAAAAAATGGCTTTGATTTTCCAAATAATTTACTACAAAGACAATTGTGATTAACGTGTTGATCTGACTTCCGTTTCAGTTCTAACATGTAACAAGCATGGAGAACTGGTGAACAAACTGAAAACCAATGACTTTTCTTGGACTGATCAGAGAACCGAGGTCTCCAGAAAGACAGGCAAATACAGAGAAACACATTAAAGTTCGGGTTACCTGGAGCAGGAGCCATTGGAGCCATAAAGAGCTAGAAGCACTTAAATGGGGAGTTGTTGAGGGATTTTAAACAGAAGAATAGTAATTATCAGATGTGTAATGCTGGGTGTATAGGACTGGCTGTGGTTAGGGGACTGACTCTGAAGCAAAATTTCAACACTAGAGATTCAGGGAGACCATGTAAGAAAATAGCTATGGTAGTCTACAGCAGAAAGGTTGAGACCTGCAACCAAGAGAGTGGCATTAGGAACAGAATATTCAACAAATACTATGAAAACAGGTTAAACAGAAATTGGATGTGAATAGTGGACAAAATAAGGGAAGAGTATGCAAGGAATCTGGCTTAGTTCCCTGGTGTGGTGCCATTGAGACAGTGAATGCTAAAGGACAGAGAAGGCATATGGATACAAAATTATGTTTTAAGCATGTTCTCCAGGTGCTCAAGCAACAGTTTCAGAAAGGACTTTAACATATGAGTCTGCAGCCCAGAGTCGTGATGTGAGGTTCAGACCTCAGTGTTAGATGTGTCTCAGTATTAGGTAGGTTTTTCTGATACCCATCCTCACCTCCTACTGGAACTAATGGCACTCTACTCTTCTTTATAATACTCATCACATTAGTCATTATTTGTTCACTATTTATCTTCCCCAGTAGAAGGTAAGGAATATGCTTATCTTCTTTAATGATATATCCTTAAGACACAGTGCATTTTATCCAGTTCATAAGTATTTACTAGATGGCTGAATGAATAACATAATTTGGGGGTCCTCAGTAGGATTGAAGTACAGTGCATAACATGGAAAAAAGCACCACTGATGGCAGCGTCCAGGGAAAAAAAGCAACATTTAAGGAGAGGATGAAGGAACGTCAGCAAAGAAAAGGGAGAGTCAACAGAGCGGAAGGAAGAAAACTAGGTAAGTTTAATGTCATCTTCACAGGGTAAATGCTTCAGAAAAATCCAGGAAGAACTTAAAAGCGTTCTTAAGATTTAACGAGAGTGGACATCAATGGGTAAGAAGACTGAGGAACGTGCAGATGGGAAGAAAGGCAGTAAAGCTAAAATAAAGTAGGTTGGGGAAAAGGTGGACAGCTTTGAGACCCACTGAAAATAGGTCAGTCACTTAGAGGAAATGAGGAGTGACAGCTGAGAAAGGCAACTGCCAGAAAGGGATAAGGTTGCTGGGGGCAGAAGTGAGAAAAGGAGTACGGCAGAGACAAGGGCCATGGAAGTAACAGGACTCACACGGGGTTGTGTTCTCCGCAGAGGAGGTGGAAGGGCCTGACCCGGGCACCCCAGGCATGGTGCGATCCCACGGACTCCAGGGAGGAGAAGAGTCCAGGCCCCTGCTGCCGCGACGGTCTTCACTGGCTGTCACCCATGAGCCACTGCAGCGGCCGCCTTCGTCTTCGCTAGGACCAGGGCCGCCGTCCTCCCTTGCTCTCTCCCAGGAGCCCCTGCAGCGGACCCCTCCGTCTTCACTTTCCTTCTCCCAGAAACCACCGAGGCGGCGGCAGGAGTCTTGGCTGCCGCTCACCCGGGAGGAGTCGCTGGCCGCGTAGCCGCGGTCTTCACTTACTGCCTCCCAGGAACTACTAAAGCTGGGGCCGCCATCGACACTCCCTCCTCCCCAAGAGCCACTGAGGCGGCGGCTGCGGTCTTCACTGCCCCTCTCCCCCGGGTCGCTGGTTCCGGGGCCGCGGACTTCCCTGACCCCCTCCCAGGTACCACTGAGATGGAGGCCGCAGTCTTCTCTGACGGTTCCTCCAGAGTCACTAGACTGGTGGCCGCCCACTTCACGGAAACGGACGTCGCTGCTGCCAAATCCGCGGTCTCCTCTCACTCTCTCCCAAGAGCTGCTGTGACCGTGGCCACCTTCTCTCCTAACTGTCTCCGGAGAACCAGCGCGGCGGTGGCCCAGGTCTTCACTGACCCTTCTGGAGTTACTGATGGAAAAGATAACGTCCTCACTTACGCTTCCCGTAGAGACGCTGCAGCGACGGTCATCATTTTCAAGGGTTCTTTCCCTGTCTTCGCTGAAACTGAACTCCTGATCTTCGCTACCTCTTTCCTTTGACCGGCCGCCGCGATGGCTGGGTCGGCCGTTTATCCTCCACACACGAGGGCCAGTTGTGGCGGCCGCCGTCTTCGGCTGCTATTCCCTGCGAGTCGCTGTGGCGGCGACCGCCGAACACGGGTACGCTCTCCTTGGAGTAACTTGACAGCGTTCTGACTCCCGCCACCTGCTTGGAGGGCCCACAGAGCCGTCGCCTTGGAAACGAAAACTTCCGGCGTGCTCTGGTCATTTCCAGTTCCTTACGGCTTGCGTCACTTCCGTCTTCCTTTCCTTCACCTTTTTCCAGGCTTACCTTCAGGAGGAGTCGGATCCTGGTACATACCGGTTTTCGGTGAAATTCCTCTCGGTCTCACACCCATGCTTATCTAGGCCCTGTCTTTAAAACTGCCAGGCCTGGATCGCACCCTTCATGGCTCAGCGCTCAGGTGGAGGCTCCAGGATTGCGGTCTGCGTAGGTGACCTGTGTGGCGCGTGCCGGGCGGGGCCTTTCGTCCTTGACAAACCTAGTGTAATTGTTTAAGTGCTGGTTGGGACGTTGAAGAAAGGCTATTCTTAACCCTAACTTCTCACAAGTGTGGCAAAAGACCTACAGGGAAGTTAGCAGCTGCAGCCGCTCTCACTATTGAGTGCTTACTATTGCCTGGCCCTTTGATAATCGCTTGGTACTTAATTCTCACAATAATTTTGTAAGGTAGGTGTTACTCCTATTTTACAGGTAAGGACATTCAAAGTATCAGTTATTTGCTGAGGCCAAACAGGTAAGTTGTAGAACCAGTGCAAAAAAAGCAAAACAAAAAAACCACAGGTCATTTATCAAGAGATTGCTCCAGGTCTTCTTAGAATCCAAGGTTCCTTCCACTGTAACTGTAAAATGTTTACTTTGAACAGTTTGGCCCAGATCTTTTTCTTCAGCCCTATTGCTTAACGTGTATTCTTCCATTAACTATTTATTATAAATGTATGGGTCAAATGTGTGCAAACGTGCTGGCAGCTGAGAATACAGAAATTAAAATTGTCCTCCAACATCATCACCCACCTTGATTCTCATGCTGTTTTTTTTTCCCTCCATCATTATTGCCTTGCCAAGGGAGGGGTTTTGTAGTTGCTATAGTTGCTACTTTTTTTTTTAGCTACAAAACTTTTAAATGTTATTTTTCAATTACAGTCGACACTCTTATTTTGTGTTAGTTTCTGGTGTACAGCATAGTGGTAGGCAATCATATACTTTACAAGGTGATCCCCCTGATATTTAAGTACCCACCTGGCATCATACATAGTTATCACAATATTGACTATATTCCCTGTGCTATACTTTACATCCCCATGACAGTTTTGTAACTACCAATCTGCACTTCTCAATCCCTTCACCTTTTTCACCTCCCTTAACCTCCTGACCTCTGCTTTGCCATAGGTTTTGTGCTCTGAACATATTTGGGAAATTCCCCTGACCATATTTTTCCTCTCTTGAAATATAGTAAATTGCCTTTCTTTAACTTCCACAGCATCTTGTAATAGTAACAACTGCCATTTGTTGAGTTCATATGATGAGTCTGGCACTATAGTAAGTGCTTTATATTAGTTTTATTTAATCCTTACTATAACCTTCCAGGATAGTATTACCGTTGATTTACACAGATAAAGCACCAAGGTTAATTGTCTCAGGGCACACAACTAGTTAGTTGGAAGTACCTGAATCAGGGTTTTACCTAGATCTTTGATTTTGCTGCACATACTCTACAAAGTCTCTGAATTCCTGCAACCTTTTTATTAGACCACTTATCATATTGTATTATAATTACCTTTTAACAGTTGATTTTCACCCCTACCCTTCATGGACTCTGAGCTTTTGGAAGGTAGGTACTGTTTTCTTTCTTCATTTTGGAGTTCCTGACATCTAGAATATATAGTTCAAGGAGAAAGCTTACTAACTGCTGTGTGGGTAAGTGGGTAGGCTGATTGGTCGATTGTCTGGTGGATGAACTGATAGACTGAAAGTAAAGGTTTTTACACGTACGAGAGATTTGGGGGTTAGTCATCCCAATTACCTCATTTTTAGAAATGGGGCAATTGAGGCATTTTACCAGATATCTGTTGAATTACTGATATGGGATAGTTTCTATGCTAAGTGATTTGAAAATAGTTTCAAATTTAATCAGTATTATTATTTCTGTTTTTACAGATGAAGAAACAGCGCAGATTTGGCCAAGATCACATAACTAGGAGGTGGGGGACTGGAACCCACTATGATTGACTCCAAATTAATATAGTGCTGTAGCCACTTACATAATAATGGTAATGGGTTCATTTTTTGCTTTGTTGTATGGATAAACTCACTGAGAGAATGAGGCAGCACATCCTTAAAGGGTGTACACCTGGCAGGAAAGAACAGAAAAGGAAACGGAAACAGCAGAAAAAGTAAAATCTCCCAAAAGATATTAAAAAGGATTTAAAAATAAAAGCAGAAATAAATGAAATGGAAAATAAATTGATCACAATAATAATTGGTACTTGAAAAGAACAATAAATAGACACTTAGCAAATCTGAGGAAGAAAAGGAAAGAAAACAATTTGGAAACAAAAGGAACATACTACAGATATGAGGGTCTTTGAAAATCAGAAATGATTTAATGTAAACTTATGCTAATAGTCCTGAAAATTGACTTGCATCATTTTCTAAGAAAGCATAAATTTCAAAAAACTGGCCTAAGGGTTAGAAAACCTTAATAAACTGATAATCATAAAAGAATGACCTATGTATGCCTGACAAAAGGCACCAGTAACAAAACAAAGAAGAAGACTTCCCAACTATGACAGTACTAACCTAATAGATGCTAAATAAGGAGAGCTTTGAAAGAAAAAAATTGTCTCTCAGTCTCACTTATCAATGTGAATGCAAAAATCCTAAGGAAACTATGAAGCCAGCAGTGCATTTAGAGAATGTCATAACTAAGTTGGGGTTATCCTACCAGTACAAGGATGGGTTACCATTAGACAGTATAGCAATGAAAATATCCTAATTTAATAAATGAGAAAAACTATATGATCTTAAGTCATACTGAAAAGTCACTTGAAAAATTAGCATCTATTACTGATTCAAAAGTTAAGTTCATATTAACATAAAAAGAACCTTTAACTGAATGAACAAATAAATAGCACACTTAATGTTATAGTCCGTGTTATCTGCAGTCATTCCTGTGAGTCTGCACTGGTCTGCAAATTTTGGCCCCAGTGTAATAATCAAGATAAATAAGGTATGATTGAAAAGGAAATTAAGATGTGATATCATTGTTGGATTCTCCTGAGACCATAAATTAGTTGCATTTCAAGTAAATTCTAATGTAATTTTTAGTGGAAATTGGCAAGATAATTTCAGATTTATCTGGAAAATTAAATGCAGGATTAAATAAAACATTTCTAGCCCTGGCTGGTGTAGCTCAGTGGATTGAGCACGGGCTGGGAACCAAAGTGTCCCAGGTTCGATTCCCAGCCAGGGTACATTCCTGGGTTGCAGGCCATAACCCCCAGCAACCGCACATTGATGTTTCTCTCTCTCTCTCTCTCTCTCTCTCTCTCTCTCTCTCTCTCTCTCTCTCTCTCTCTCTCTCTCTCTCTCTCTCCCTCCCTTCCTCCCTTCCTTCCCTCCCTAAAAATAAAGAAATAAAATCTTTAAAAAAAAAAAAAAAACATTTCTGAAAAAGGACAATTAATGAGGACTTAACCCTGATACATACTAGAACTATAAAGCTAGAGTATTTACAACAGGGTGGTCTAGGAAAAGGACTAGACAGATTAGTGGAACAAAACTATTAATAGAATCCAGAAATTAGCCCATTTGTTTATTATAGAGGTTTTATAAAATGGAGAAATGGCTCTTCAGTATTTTCACATACAATTTCAAAAGAATTAAAGATATTAGCAAAGTGTTAGAATACAGAAAATTTGTTTAATCTTAGGAAGACTTTTCTAAGCAAGACAAGCCCCAGAGACCACAGAAGGAAAAAAATAGTATAATAAACATTTAAAAGGTTACAAGCTATGTTACTACAAGATCAGACACTTATTCTAAAAATTTAAGTCAAAAAAGAAGCACAAAATAATGAGCAAAAACAAAATACCAAGAGGAAATTAACAAAAGGAAAGATATTCATAGGCTGAGCAGCACAGTGATGAAAACTAGGGACGTTAAGTGTTGAAAGAGGTTGTTTAAACAAAGCACTCTGAAGTCTGCTGGTGAAAGACTAAAGTGGTGTGACCCATGAAGGTCGCACTACCTGTCAAAATTCTAAATAACTGTGAACCAGCAGCTTTCAAGTTATAAAATCTTCAAACTGGCTGAAGTGAATGTACTAGGATAGTCATTGCAACAATTTGTAACTCAATAGTTATCCGTCAGTGAAAGAATGGCTCAAGTATGTTACTTTCATATAGGAAATGCATAGCGTTAGACATACAGATCTACATGCATTAATCAACATGGAAAGGTTTGTAAGATATGGTAAATGAAAAAAGGCAAAACTACATGTGTGTATATGTATATATGATCTCATTTAATTTCTGAAAATTGGTGAAAATTTTTTCTAAGTTTGGGAAGGATCTATGCCAAATTATTAACTCAGTGGTTACTTTATACAAGAAGAAAGGACATGAAAGACTATTTTCTATACTTGTATTTGATCTCTGAAGTTTAATTCTTCCTAAGTAAAAATACAGAAGTACAGAAAGGCATGCATTGTCACATAAAGCAAAAGATAATTTTAAGGAGTATATGACCCAGGAGAGATTAAGAGGCTAAGAAAAGCACATTGGTTTTGGCAAGGAGTCCTTGATAATACTCAAAGCAATTTTAATGAAGTAGTCAAGATGTAAAAACCAGGTTGCACAGTATTTTAAGGTAAGTAAGGGACTGACATGAAGTTTCTCAAGTGAAAAACGTGTCAGAACACACTGAAGTGGGCATCTCAGCATTCTAAGGAAATGGAACCCTTTGTAAGCAGGAAGATTATGGTTCCAATTAGGAAAAATGGCTAGTCCTCCTCTTCCACCTCCACCTTAGGTTTTCCAAAGTGAGGTAATGAATCAGTTTGTCCCAAAAATCCCTCATAAATCAGTTCTTTGCAGCTATTTCCAAAAAAGGAAGCAGGGCCAACCCCAAATTAAAACTTGAACAAAGAGGTTTTTGGGTAACCATCTCCATACTCCTTCCTGCCTGTCTACATTCATGCTTTCCAGGCATTCTCACTTTCCTTTTGGTGCACACCTGCAAATCCTAAGGGATACCAGTGGTGCTTTTTGGCTTTTTGTCCTTCCCTGCCTGCCCAATGAAATGTTATTTCAGGGATCTGACCTCATTAGGAGGAAACTTTCAAGTTCTGCAGAAGGTCAGGCCTTGATAATAGCCTGGTTTTCCATTTTTATCTCCAGACTACCTTTTTAGCTAAATCTTTTCACTTGTGGGCATGGTTAAATGCCTTAATATTTTGCTGAATATTTTGTATAAACCTTTCAGAGCATTTATTGGGCACTAAAATTGTATGTAAAGAAATCCAGGAAAATAGAATCTAAAATTCTTTTAGTTTAAGCTATTGTATGAAAATCTTAGTTTTACTTTTCTCCCTAAAGCATACTTTGTTTTTAGCTGAATAACAGATTACTGTATTTTCCAGAACATGAAAGTTTTAAGTAGGTAAATTATGTTGACAATGTGAAGGGTGTAATGAAATTTGTAGTTTTCAGGAAATACACTATTCCTTTTGTTCTCATGAATTCATTTCGAATGGTAACATTCCACCTTCCATAAGGTTTCTAGCTTTCCTTGCCACACTTTCCAGTATAGATTACTGTTTCTAGTTCCCAGTTGCTATGTGTTGGCATGTTGGCTACTGCTGTTCCATCTTTTGTGGCTAAGGTTAAATGTTTGATTTCTAAATCAGTTAGAGATTTGGCTGTTCATTATAATGAAGTGTGGAACTTTATTAATGTAACTGGCCTATTAGTTTCAAGTGTATCTATGGAGCATCTTAAATATGAGTTGTCTCTGAATGACAATCTACTAAACAACTCGAGATAGGAATCTGTTCTTAACATTCACTGTCATTCTAGTGCACAGCCCTGGTTAAATTTTGCACAGGTAAGGGGTGCGGGGGGAGAGACATCTAAATCGGTACCTGACATCTAGCCCCCTACCTCAAAGAAAAAGTAGGAATTGAATTAATTCCAGGTGGTCCAGTATCTGTGGTCATTTCAGTACTGTCCCTCCAACTAATTCCTCTGGTGCTATGGAGTCTCTTTCCAGCTCCAAGTGACGAGTCATGTCTCTCTTTAACCTATGACTTCAGTAAGCTAACTTAGCATGCTAACGTCTCCTGTTTGTCTCATTCTAACCACAAGTCTCTTCGGTTAAACTTAAGGTTAGCTCTTAACTATTTTGTCACCTATCACTCACTACTTCAGTAGTGTTCTCTCACCTGCCTATAAATCTAAATGTTCCCCAGGCACCTCTTCCACTATACAGGTATTAGTAGGTTTGAATGTCTTGTCACATACTTTTTAAGCATTTGATAAAAACAGGGCCTCCTCCAAAAGTCACAGCAGAAAACTACATTTTTGGATTTTTAATTCCAGCATTTCTTCCATGACTGTCACATACATTCAAAGGTTCAGCTATCACATGGTGTTTGTAACTCCAGTACAGTGGACACTTAGTTTTTTACTAGACCTCTCTATAGCATTTGAAAATCTCTTTAAATAAAATTTTATTCACTTGATTCTATTAAAAAAAGAAGCCAAGATGCAGATAGGATATTACTTGTTTAAATTTCTAGTGGTTGCCATGACATGACCAATGGTACATAAACTGTTCTGAGTTACTGGGTTTTAACCATATAAACATTTTTGAAAACACATGGTTTACATTTGCTGTTCATTCTCCATAGATATCCCCCTTCCTACAAATGTGGACTCCTGTCCTAGTTATCTCCCAAAACTTAGCTTAGCCATCTCCAGGTAGTTTGGTGTGCCTATTTCTATCCTAGCATTTATCTTAGGGAACTGTTTTAAATTGAAGAAATTTAGCAGCCAGGTTCATATTTTAGTTCTACAACTTTCTAAGTTGTACCATTTACAATGTAGGATTATTTTTAAGCACCAGAGAAAATACATGTAAAATGTTTGTCGATGCCTACCACACAGTATTCAACAAACTGATTTTCATTGTTACATATGTCTAGCTCCTCCAAAAGATGGCAGAAAAGATTAATGTTGCATCTCTGAGTGCCTGACTCATTAAGTATCACTTCATGTTTTAAAGCTGGTGAAAGAAGTCACAATCTGAAACCATTTAAGAAATAAAGAGACACAAACAAAGTTTCTTCATCCTATTTATTACATGTATGATATTAACATGGTATTCATCTAGTTCAGTCAAAACCAACAAAGGATAAAAGTTAACCATGTTTCAAATGAACATTCTTACAGATCCCCCTGTAACTTAAAATAGAAGTATGTTCACTGCATTAAATTATGACAAATTTGAAGTGTCATTTAAAAAGAAATCACCTTTAGTACTTAAACATATTTGTTAATTGTTTGATGGCATCAGTGTCCAAGTTCAAGAATAAAAGTTGCTTCATTAGATGCTCTTCAAAAATGGACATCTGGATGGTTCTCTAAAGCTGGAGATAGATATATATGCAAATATGTCCTATTTTGTTTTTTAAAATATTTCAAATCTGGCTTTTCTATTTGAGAAGAGTCCTGCAGTGCTCTCTCACAACCCCCTTTTGAAGAATAAAACTAACTTAAGACTTTGCCTCCTTAATCATGGGAGCTACTAGGAAAAAAATCTTATGTTGAGGTTGCTGTTTAATTCCATTGTCACCCAGTAAAAAGTACAGAAACACTGTCTTTATTTGATGGTGTGCATAAATATTACACTCCATGGATAGCAAAAATATTTTTATTTATAATTTACAGTTTCACAAGTGAAAATCGTACATTTTTACACATAACAATTTCATTTTGTTAAATTTGCACACATCTACAGAACTTTCACACAACAAGCACCTGAAACTGTGCAGGCAGTAGGAAATGCAAATACTAAAATGTATTTATTAACCAAATGATAGCTGAAGGCCCTGCCTCAGCTACACAATTTATATAGATATGACTATATATACATAAATTTTTCACCTTCTAGATCCAACAGCAGCTTTTTTAAAAAAGAAAAACATACCTTTCTCATTTTATTTTAAACTGACTCAACTGGATCATTTTCTGTTTTAATTTCAGTGGGTGTTGCCATGCTTTCCTCTGTACACGCTGGTGGGGTATCGATTTGTTCTTCCTTAACTTTGGGACTTTCAGAGGGTTCCTGCAATTCATTTTTGACAATGTTCAACATAATGTTCAAAGGGTTTTCAACTGGTGTCTTGCTGGGAGATGGTGTACAATCAAATGAAGA